TGGGGCAGCTATGCCACTTCAAGGAAGGTTTTACAGAAGTACGAGGTAAGAATCCTAGCCCTCCTATGGCATATCCGCCCCGTGCGAGATCGGACTCGGCAAATAACATCGAATCCCACAGTTTGTCGAAATTGGCGTTACTCTATCGTGCCAACAAAACTAATCCCCCATCTCATCACCTACGGTCAATTTTACTTAATTCAAGAGTGGCATAGCCGCCCCACAAAATTGATGAGCACATCTCATCACCTACGGTCAATTTTACTTAATTCAAGAGTGGCATAGCCGCCCCACAAAATTGATGAGCACATCTCATCACCTACGGTCAATTTTACTTAATTCAAGAGTGGCATAGCCGCCCCACAAAATTGATGAGCACATCTCATCACCTACGGTCAATTTTACTTAATTCAAGAGTGGCATAGCCGCCCCACAAAATTGATGAGCACATCTCATCACCTACGGTCAATTTTACTTAATTCAAGAGTGGCATAGCCGCCCCACAAAATTGATGAGCACATCTCATCACCTACGGTCAATTTTACTTAATTCAAGAGTGGCATAGCCGCCCCACAAAATTGATGAGCACATCTCATCACCTACGGTCAATTTTACTTAATTCAAGAGTGGCATAGCCGCCCCACAAAATTAATGAACACATCTCATCGCCTACGGTCAATTTTTCTTAATTCCAGAGTGGCATAGCCGCCCCACAAAATTAATGAGCACATCTCATCGCCTACGGTCAAGTTTACTTAATTCCAGAGTGGCATAACCGCCCCACGAAATAATGAGCACAACAGACCTTAGGGAGTATACGGATGAGTGTTATTACCATATCGAACTCCTCCTTCTCGGAGACTATTGAGGATGAGGGTCTACCGGTACTTGAAGTCCTACGTCGTCGTCGAGTTTCAGACATACTATCTTGGAAATATTCAACAGGCCCTTATGGTGAAATCCCGAGCTGCCACAGCAGAAGATTCTACTCGAGCGAATGAGGTTATAGAATAAGTTTGATCCACTCAAAAACACAATCCAAATGAGTGTACGATGAATACTAAAAAGCCACAAAAAACAGTCGCGTGGTATGCGTAGAGCATAAATCCCTTGGAAATAGGGTGAGAAGGCTACTGATGTCGATATGAGAGAAAGATAACAACAAGTCAGTTCCGGCAGATAATCAACAGCCGTATGCGAGAGCAATTATCTAGGGAAAACCACTGGACCAACACTTCCAACACAAGCACCAAGTTCTCTCGGTACCACTGAGGTGGCAGACCTACTCGTCACTACGAGCTAGCAACGACGCCTTGCTGGCGAGTCTATCCATGTTTTTTCAAGTGAGCCATACCGCGGCATGCAATCCTTCACGAGCGACCAATCACCTCACTCTTGAGGTTTGCCTTGTCAGAGATGGGATCACTTCCACCACGAATAGGAGCGAGAACACAGCCAGTCTTGATACCATACACTTGCCCTAAAGTGAATAGCATAGCCACTTCCATGTCGGAAGCCAAGCATCCAGGTTGCTCTAAAACTTCAATATACCGCTTGTGCTCAGGGACATAGGGGCCAGAATTGAACTCTCTGGCCATGGGCGAATCTTTGGTGTGGACCGGACCAGCATCGTAGATCCATTGAGCACCGCCCTGGATATTTTCATCCTCGTCTTCTAGCTGCAGTTGGGCGGCACTACACATGGCAGTAACAACAGCCGCCGAACCGAGAGCAGGAAATTCGGGAGGCATGTAGTGCCGAGGGGCACCCTC